TCCCTCCATCCCTCCATCCCTCCATCCCTCCATCCACCCATCCCTCCTCCCTCCTCCCCCAGCACAAACCCTTCTGGAGACTCCGTGGGCCACAGCCTGGGCTGGACCCAGGGACCTTGCCCTTCCTGGAATTCAGCTGGACCCTCTGAACCATCCCCACTAGGTTACCTGTCAGTCACCTGGCCCAGACCTCTAGTCCTGCACTCCTGATTGGTCCCATACAGGCTTAGGTCCCGCCCCAGGGCCAGGGAGGGGGTCTGCCAGGGCCAAGGTTGGGTCTGGCCGTAGGGGTGTGATGTTCAGGAGGCTTGTTGCTATTACTAGTAAAGTATCTGCTCGTTGTTTTATTTTGTTTAAATTTAATATATTTTTATTGATTTCAGAGAGGGAGGGAGAGAGAGAGAAACATTAATGATGAGAGAGAATCATGGATCAGCTGCCTCCTGCACGCCCCCTACTGGGGATCAAGCCCACAACCCGGGCATGTGCCCTGACCGGGAATCAAACCGTGACCTCCTGGTTCATAGGTTGACACTCAACCCCTGAGCCAGGCCGGCCGGGCCGTGAGGAATGAATTTCTGTTGCTGATGGGCCACCCCGTCCGTCCGCAGTGTGTTACTAGAGCAGGCTGCAGGGAGGAAGGCAGGGCCCGACAGGGCTGGGAGTGGGCGAGTCCCTGCCCTCCGTCCCCGGGCAGAGCGAGCTCTCGATCTCACAGGGAAGTTCCCATGGCCGAGTTCCCCTCTCACCTGGGGCTTTCCAGCCCGGGAGTTCTGGGGCCTTGCTGAGCCCCTCAAATTCCAAAGTCCTTGCCCGGCCGGTGTGGCTCAGCGGTTGAGCGTCAACCCATGAACCAGGAGGTCAGGGTTCGATTCCCGGTCAGGGCACATGCCCGGGTTGTGGGCTTGATCCCCACTAGGGGGGCGTGCAGGAGGCAGCCGATCCATGATTCCCTCTCATCATGGATGCTTCTCTCCCTCCCTTTCTCTCCCTTCCTCTCTGAAATCAATAAAAATATATTAATAAAAAAGAAAAGCCCACAGTGCCATTCCCAGATGTGGGGTTCAGTTAGAACCACTTCCTGCTGTAGCACAAGAACAAACCCCTCCATTCCCAGACCCCCGCTCCTCCTGCCTATGGAGTCTCCAATCGGCTCCCTCCTGACACCCACCCCGCCCCCCGCAGAGGCGTGATGCGGACCTGACACCAGAGCTCCGTTCTGATGGCTTTTATTGACCAAGTGGGGGGTCAGCTTGAGTACAGCCCAGCCCCGCAGCCCTCCAGGCCCAGCTCCATCCGTCTAGTCCTCTTTCTGTCCCTGGGAGCATCGCGGCCACCCCTCCCTGCTCCTGCTGCTCTGACCTGGGGGCCTGGAAGGGAGGGGTGACGTGGCCAGAGAGGGTCCCGGGGAGGGGAGGGGAGGGGAGGGCAGCCGGGGCGAGACCCCTGCGTGGGCAGGAAGGTCCTGAGCTCTGGGTGCAGAGGGGAGGGGTGTCCAGACGAGGATTGGGGCTGCCTCCGTGTGAGGGCGAGCGGCATGGCAGCGGGGCACTGGGCTGGGTGTGTGTGGACGGGGGCCCGCTGTCACCACAGCCCCGGACCCCGGGTCAGGGGCGGAGCCATCTCCCCTCAGAGTTGGGCCTCTGATACACAGGGGTGGGTATTGGGGTGTCTCATGGGGACCCCCATCAAACCGGGAGCTGGGGAGGTCAGACTATGTGTGGACTCTGGGGTTCTCAGACCTGGGTGTTCTCCCACCCCCCGGGGAAGGACACCAATTCCCCACAGCCTCAAGGTCACAACCTCAAAGGTCAGACTCAAAGGTCATGGCCTCAAGGTCACAGTCTCAAGGTCATGGCCTAGGGGAGAGGTGTCTTATGCCTCTCGGTCCCCTCCCCCGCCCTGGTGACTCCTGAGCTGGGGGGACTCCCAGGCCTGTTCTGAGGGACGCCCTCTTTCTCGCAGAAGAGAAGCTTTGCGGTCGGGAACCACAGCCTCCCCTCTGGGCCCCGAGATGTGGGCTCCGATGATGGTGGACGCTCAGCCAAGGAGGCTGAGAACGGAGGCCTGCGGGCTGGTGTGGGAGGCTAAAACCGCGGAGACTCCTGCCGGTGACGGCGCAGACCCCGGGCAGGGGGAGCCCCTGAGGGGGGAACTCAGGCTGCCCCCAAACCAGAGGGGGCCAGACACCGAGTTCCGGTCACTGGTGACGTGCATGGGGCAGGGCTGAGGAGAGGCATCCCAGGGGGTGGCCGAGGCTGCGGGGAGCGGGTGGTGGAGACGGCACGTGGCAGGGAGGGGAGGGCAGGCGGCCTCACTCCGAGTGGACCAGGGCGCCCGCTCCCTGCCCGAAGCCGAAGCCCTTGGGCCCGAAGTTCTTAGCGTAGCATCCTGCGGAGAGGAGAGAGACCCCCTGCAGACATGCCACCCCGAGTGCCCACAGGGCCTCTGCGGCAGTGACGTCCCCGCACCCCACCTCTGCAGCCCCCCAACCCCACAGCGAGGAGGGTCCTGGCCCCGCCCTGTCCATCCCCCTCAACAGAGAGGACAGAGCTGTCTGCGGGGACAGCTTTGGACCAGGGCTGGGCACCCGCTCTGCCCACCCAGCCCATGTGCCCCGGGGCTCTGGCCAGGCCTCCCTCTGGGCTGCCTCCTCTGTCAGGTGGGGCGTCTACGAGATGCTCAGGGCCCGACCCCAAGGCCTCCGGGCCCGGAGCTCGATGCCACACCCACCTTTGCAGTAAATCTCCCCGTCCTTGTCGGCCAGGGTGGTGGACTCCAGGCCTTTGCCACACTTGGCGCAGCGGAAGCAGGACTTGTGCCAGGACTGCGGGGGGAGGGAGCCCACCGTTAGTGCTGCCCCCGGGGACGAGGGTGACCCCGGCCCAGGTGAGCAGGGTCTCCTGCAGGCCAGGGCCCTGTCGCCTGCCTCTCTGCACCCCTCCCCCACCCTGGTGACCGGTGCAGCCGGCCGAGCCTCCTCCAGACCCGTGGGGTCAGCGGGGTGGGCATGGGCTTGCCCAGGCCCTGCCCTTACCAGCTGCACGGCCTCAGCCACTTCCTCCTCCAGGGCCTCTGCCCACCTGGCGGAATGAGCGTGGGAACTAGGTATGCGGGGGGCAGCCCGGCCTCTGACCTTTACAACGGGGGGGCCTCGTTCACCCAAAGGAGAAGGAGCTGGCGGTCCCCCCACCCCAGCAGCCTTCCTGGTGGGCTGGCCTGGCCTGAGGGGCCCTGAGCCAGTGGCGCCTGGTGTGACTCTGGAAGGTGGACGGGCCTGTGACGTGCACTGAACTCGGCAGGAAAGGCCCACAGGGGAGCTGGGGGGGGACCCCCGCACAGGACCCAGGGGGCAGCCTGGCCGGGATGGAGCCGCTCGGGCTGGAAGGCCTCTCAGAGACCAGCTCCAGCGGCCACAGCCACGCCGGCTCAGGGGCGGAGGTGCAGACAGCCCTGCAGGAGGCAGGTGGCACCAGGCCCGACAGAACCAGGCCTTTTAAGGGCAAAGGGCCTCCCTCAGTGCAGCCCCGTCCTGGGCTGGAGGCGAGGGAGCAAACTGGACCGACTCCGATTTCCTGGCCGCCA